ATATATAAATTTAATGAGAGTTTGTTTCCTTGGATAGAGTAATGGAAGTTAAATGATGAATATCTTGCTTTAGGGAACCTGCAAATTGTTTTTCTATTTTAACGCTTTGATTACTAGGGACTAGTAATAAGCTGGTTGGGGAGTGTGATTAGTACTTAAAAGTGTATTTTTCTCAAGGTTTTATATCATTATTTTGCACTTGAAGTATCAATAACTCCTTAATTAGAGCATGTTTTATAATAACAAGTCTAATAATATAAGATACCTTTAATTTATGGTAAATGCTCATTTTAAATGCAAGTATTCTCATTATTCAAAGGACTGATTATTGTGATTAACTAATGAAAGTGAAAGGACAAAGAAAAGGCTAAGCTTAAGAAAGAGATGCCTATTCAATTTAAATTCAAACACTGTATAGTCATTGGATCATATCTAAAGCTATAAATCTTGGATTTCAGATTAATTTATATGGATGGAAAGATAAGAAATAGGCCTACAACTTTTATGGTATGGAAAGACCTAAATTTTTTGTTTTTAAATTCAAAGTTTGGCCACAAAAGAGAAGTTTGAATCTGTCCTACAATCCAATACAAACATTGCTTAGAGTTTTACCCATAATTGGAGTTCTAGAAGTCCAAATGATCTGAAATTTAATGGGTGGAAGGAAAAGACAATTTAAACAACTTTCATGAAGAAGACTAGCTCAAATTCGGACGGTAAAAATGACATTTCATCTAGAAAAAAACAGAGGGCTATCCACCAGTAGTACTGCCTAGTATTTTAGACATATCTTGAGTTGTAGTGCTCCAAATGATCTAAAATTTGGTGGGTGGAAGGAAAAAATAATTTTTAACAACTTTTATAAGGAACACTTTGTCAAATTCTGATTGCATCAATGTTAATTTAGCCAGCCAAAGTGCTTGAGTACTATTGTCCACCAAGTCCACTAATCAATAGTTGGCCACTACATTAATTATCAATTACCAAATGAATAGGTTTGAATTTTAGCCTATAAAAGGAGACATTTACTATTCATTTAGGCATCTTATTTTTTATATCAAGATCATGTTCTTGCTCTCTCTCTTTATATTTTTGTAATGCTTAAGTTTTGCTTTCATTAGTCTCTTGTTTATGATTTTCATTTGCTTTACTATACTTAGTTAACTTATATCATGTTTATGTTCTTATATTATTTATTCAAGTTTTTCTTTTTCATAATGTCTAGCAAAGTTAATTATATCAAAGTGAAAAGGTTTCACTAATGGTGTTAGGATAAGTATAATATAAACTCAATATGGACTTCAATAAGCATCCTAAACAACTTGCTATTAACATGTCTTATCATTTTTATCTTATTAATTCTTAATACGTTGCTTGTTAAATGGTTAATCTAGATTTGTATTGTATAACAATTAGTACATCAAATACTTGATCCTTCATAGTCTTCGGCTGGCATCGTTATTATGAGAGGAACTTGATTTGTTGTCAAGATAAGTTAGCATCATGAATGCTTGATAAAATTTATAAGTATGGTCTTATGTAAATAAGATGATTATGTTGATAAATTATAAAGAGTTTATACTTTACTTATCTCTAATGCTATTAATGTATCCTCTAACCTTGACATTTGCTTTTATCATTGTATAATCTTCACATTAATCTTATATCTTAAAGTCCTCTTTAACTCATCTTCACCACTATCATTATTGTTGTTGTTGTTGTTGTTCTTATTATTATTATTATTATTATTATTATTATTATTATTTATAATTTATATAGTTAACTTCCTTGTGGTTTGACCACGGTCTTGCCAAGTTATTTATTACTTTGACACTCCTGCATTTAGGATAAGACATTAACTCTTTGATCATGTCAGAAAGCTAAAACATAGGCCTAAAACATTCATGCGGAAGGCAAGACTCAATTTTGCTATTTGGAAGTCCAAATCTTAGCAACAACATAAAAGTTCGAATTTGATCTACAGTTTAGGCACTGTTCATTATTCAGCCCATATCTTAAATTCTAAATGTCTAAATGACCTGATTTTTTTTTTGTTGGAAAGCTGAGACAATTTTCTAGAATTTTCATGAAAGTCTATCAAAATTTTAATGTTAGCAATGATGTTTTGTTCAGATAAGAAAATAAAGATTAAACTAGATCAAGATGTGGCCATCCACTCAACAATTAGTCAACAAATCAATAGTTTCTAATTTTAGCTTATAAAAAGAGGCATTTGCCATACATTTAGGCATCTTAGTTTTTAGATCAAGATCATATTCTTGCTCTCTCTTTATTGTAATGCTTAAGTTTTGCTTATATTAATCTTTTGTTTATGCTTCTCATTTCCTTTCCTTTACTTAGTTAACTTATATCTTATTTATGTTCTTATCTTGTTTATTTATATTTCTCTTTTTTATTATGTTTAGCTAAGTTTATTATGTCAAGGTGAAAAAGGTTACACTAATGGTGTAAGAATAAGTATAGTATAAACTCAACATGGACTTTAATGTTTGATGCCAACATGTTTTGTATTTGTTATCTTATTCACTCTTAATACTTTGCTTGTTAAATGGTTAATCTAGATTTATGTTGTATAACCTTGGTACAACAAATACTTGACACTTTCATATCCCAACTGTACAGTGTAACCGACACTTGTGCTATAAAAGGAACTTGATTTATTGTTAACATAAGTTATAATCATGAATACTTGACAACATTTACAATTATTAACATTATTCAAATAAGATAATTAATATAATCATGTTAACAATTTATAATCCAATTAGAACCTTCTTTGTATGTAGTTTCTAGTTAAATAATAAGAGTTTATACTATACTTGTTTGAAATTCCATTAGTGGATCCTCTAACCTTGACAATTGTTTTTATCATTGTTTAATCCTTATATCAATATCACATCTCAAGACTTTCTTTATTACTATTACTATTACTATCGTTGTTGTTGTTGTTGTTGTTATTTATAATTTATATAGTTAACCTCCTTGTAATTTGTGTCCGGTCTTGCCAGGTTACTTATTATTTCGACATTCTCGTACTTGGGTGAAGACATCAATCTTCTGATGGTGTCAGCTGCAATGCCGGTTTAGAGGGAGAAATCATCAGCATCAATAATATAGTCTATTTGGAGAGATAGAGAAGAGTTCTGATGGCAGAAGACTCTAATATCAAGTTAAGAAAAAGTAGGAGACTTAACCTTTAGTTAACTAATTATTCTCTATTTAAATACTTAGGGTAACATATAATAATAAAGATAGAAATTACAACACTAGAGACTATTTATAATATTTTTTATACATACATTTTGTAATAATCTTGAATAAGATGAAAGTTATTCCATCTTATTTTATTTTTAAAAATAATATATTATATAGTGGTCATTCTAGCAAGAATAAAATGAAATTAATAACGTTTGTCATAATTGATTACTTCTTCCCTTCCTTTTGTTATCTTTAAATTCCGGTGTTTATTCTAGAGTTTTTGTTGCTTGCCACTGTATTCGGGTGGTTGCTTTAAAGAAATTTAAATTACATAGCACCATAGTTTTTGATATTTGGATTTTCAACTCTTTCTCAGATTTCAAAAAAAAAAAAAAATTGCTTAAGAGTGCTGAATTATGTGTTGTTTCATACGACATCTGCCATTGAATTTATGGAGAAATTGATCTACATTGGAGAAAATTTGAAAGAGAGAGGGAATGAGAAGGACACGAGGAAAGAAATATTTAATTAGAAGTTTTGAAACGTAAAAGGAATAAGCGTTTTCTCCATTAGGAAAGAAATTTAAAAAGGTAAAGAAAGTTGTAATTAATTGGATGCAATTAACTAGCCTGAATATCATGAATCTTCTCCTATATTTGGTCAAGACAATAGAAAATAAAGGGGAAAATCACATTTTGGAGGCCCTTTGTATCAAGTGATACATTGAATATGTAAATAATTTCACAAATTCAATCATGTATTTATTACTACATGCAGACAACCTGATCCCTATGAACACGATTTTGACTAAGATGTTTAGCTTTATTTTTATTTATGTTTTTTAAAGAAGAGTAAATACACCAAACGTATGAAAAATTACTAATTAATTTGGAAAACAAACTTACATTTTAGCAACGGATGAAAATTTTTACAAGACTATCTTTGTCATTAAACCATGGGTCTCGTACCTAATTAATTAAACCACAGGTCTCATCACTAATTAATTTTTCTTGTTTTCTTTTTAACACTTATTTTTCATATATATCAAACACTAAACAGTTATATTCAAATTGTTTTCACTAACATATCCCAAAAATGAAAAATAATATACTTTTTTGAAAAAGTATAAGTTATTCTATATGAAATAAATCGTAACCCTATTTGGTAAACATGTGAAATAAAATAAGAAATGATTTTTGTTATGTCCCATCACTTTTCTAGAACAAGACTAGCCATGTTTACAGGACAAAACTGATCTCTAAGTATTCTTCCTAACCCATCCATACTTGTTTCTTCGAGTCTGGAAATAATCTTCATTCTTTTGTACATTGAATATTTTAAAATATTTTATTTTTATATATAATAAAATTATTATGAATTCAAAGTAATCATATATATATATATATATATATAGAATAAGTAAATAATATATTTTTTATTTGTGGGAATAAATGCATCAATGACCAATCGACGTCAGGTGGATTATCATGAAACGAAACAGGACAAATAAATAACAGTAATAATATTTATAGTGTGAGATAAAAGATCGATGCAAAATTTTCCGTTCTGATGAAACAAAGATTTAAGATGCAATCCAAAAATAATTTTATGGAAAAAAAAGCCAACTTAGGAAGGGTTTTTTGATGGCCTTATACCAATTAATCAATGGAGATTTTTTTTCTCCTATAAATGCTCCCCAAATTTACAAATACTAACAATAAGAAAACCATCATAATATCATCTCTCTTTTTATTTTTCCAAGGCTTTTTTTTTTCTTATTAATGGAAGGCAAGCAAACCAGAGGCAGGCAAAAGATCGCAATAAAAAGGATAGAAAACGAAGATGACAGGCTCATCACATTCTCGAAACGTAGATCTGGGATCTACAAAAAGGCAAGCGAGTTGGTGACTCTATGCGGTGCTGAGGTTGCTGTGCTAGTGTTCTCACCAGCCGGCAAGGCTTTCTCCTTTGGCCATCCATCTATAGAATCTGTTGCAAATCGCTTTCTTGGACAGAACATAGCACCAAATGATAAAACCCAACCTCTTGTTGAGGCTCACAGAAAGGTGAGAATTAACGAGCTAAACCAGCAACACAATGAACTACTTAGCGAGGTGGAAGCTGAGAGAGACCGAGGAAAGCTGCTAAAGGAAGGGAAAAGTGAGAAATCAAGCCAAGGTTGGTGGGAAGTTCCCATTGATGAGCTTAGCCTGCAAGAGCTTAAGCAAATGAATGTGATGCTAGAAGAGTTTCATAAGAATTTGTACAAAAAAATTAATGAGCTCAGAAGAAATGGAGGTGCATCTTCATCATCTTTCCAAGCTCATACTGGCCATGCAACTAATATTCCATTTTGCCAGCTCTAATGCGAATGGGGCTAGTTCTTTCTCAATTTTTTCTTGAGGATGGATGCTTATGGGCATAAAATAATTAATCTTATGGGCATATTCTAGCTTTCAACACTTTGCTTCTGAGCATAAAATAACTTTCCATTAATCTTTTCATGTCTCTTTTTGTCTCAATAGTTTAAGACAAAGAAAATGGCTACTCTCTCTTTTGGAAAAACAAGCATAAAGTTCATGGCTGCTGACCTTATATAGTTCCATTACCCAAGATAACGCGTGCTGACTAGCTTTAATATATTTCATTAACCTCATTATATATGTTTTAAGATATGTTAATGAGTTGTACCAAAATTAATTTGCTCCTTTTCCTACAATATTTCAAGTTCGAATCTCATTTTTGTAATAAAAAAAAGAGAGCATATAACAATGAACAACTGTGATTGACCAATGGAATTTATTCAAACATATATTTTGTGACAAAAATAATAATAAAATACCAAAAACAATTGAAAAATTATGGATACATATTATCCTTGTGAAGACAAGGTGATGATTGGTTTTTCTTTTATTGAGACCGATAATTTCTAATACTTTCCTTTAAAATTTATATTTAGCTAACTTTAAATTTATTACAATGATTATTTTATTTTTTTTAATAAAAAAATTAATTAAAAATAATATTTGTTTTTAAATGAAAATCATAAATAATAATTATTCAGGATTTATTATCAGGGTTATTTTACACTATAATTTTATTGGATACATTCTCCCCCATTTAATATAATTTTAGAACATGAATCTTGATTTTTTTTTGTGTGATCCTAATTAAAAAAAATCAATTTGAAAAATAAGCTCTTGTCAAAAAATTGGATCAAAATTTATTCTATACTTGAAAATTTTAGTCAATTCAATCTTAATTAACTAAATTGCATTAAATTGTAAGATCAAGAATATCAAGTAAGATTTTGGAAGTTCTTAAGAGATAAAAAAACAACATTAATGTTTTTTTAATAAAAAATAAATAACAAGTATTGTAACTGTTTTAGGAATAATTGTTTTTTGAAGTTTTAAGAAATAAACAAATTCTGAAGTCATTAATTTGAAGAAAAAAACAATTTAAGCAATAAAACAATAAATTTATTAGAGGAAAAACTTAAAGTTTTGAAATGTATCAAGAATAAAAAAATTATTAATTTTTTAGAACTATATATATATATATATATAATTTTTAAAAGTATTTAAGTAATATTTTTTTTCATATCACTTAAACTTAAAAATTTTAAAAACTCAGTAAGAATAAAAATTTCAAAATTCGGAAGTTTGGATTTTTTTTTAAATTTAAGTAATTTCAAAAATACTATTAATTTTTATAATGGTTAAACATGGTGCAAAACTTTATCAAGAATTTAAGTTTTTCTAAAACAAAGATGAATTCTAATGATTGAGTATTTTCAAAATTCTTTAACTTCTTTGACTTTTTGAATATATTTATCATAAAGAAATATTAGTTTCTTTTTATTTTATACAACTATTGAAATTTTTTATTTTCATTAAAAAAGTTAATATTTGTTATTTGTTAAGTAATTTATAAATTTTAATTAGTATACAATCTAATGAAATTTAGTTCAATTGGGATAAATTGACTAAATTTTGTGAATCCAAAGTAAGTTGTAACAATATTTACATAGGAACCAATTCATTGAATTTAAACAAACACTTGTGATTAGGAGGGACTTTTCTTAAATGTACATAATTAGTATTTAAAAATGTATTTTTTATCAAGATTTGATATCATTATTTTGCACTTGAATTATCAATAACTTCTTAACTAAAACATGTTTTATAATAACAAGTATGATACTATAAAATATCTTTAATTTATGGTAAATGTTCATCGTCAATACAGGTCCATCACATAAATAAAAAGATTGATTGACGAGTTGAAGTACTAAAATTGAAAGGACAAAAAGAGGGTGAAGCTTAAAAAAGAGATGCTTGTTTAGTCCAAACTAAAACATTGTTCGGTAATTGAATTATAAGTGGAGTTGTAGAACTTGAATTTCAGTCTGCTTGATGACACGATCAAAAGATTGATGTCATTTCCTAAGTGCAAGACTGTTGAAGTAATAAATAACCAGGCAAGTCCGGAGTCGAACCACAGTGAGGTTAATTGTATAAATTATAAATAATAACAATACAACAACAACAATAACAAGAATAATAATACTACTAGTAGTAGTTGACATGACTAGAAGATTGATGTCTTCTCCCAAGTGCAAGAGTGTCGAAGTAATAAATAACCCGGCAAAACCGGGGTCGAACCACAGGGAGGTTAATTGTACAAATTATAAATAACAATAATACAACAACAATAATAACAACAACAACAACAATAATAATAGTAATAACAATAATAACAACAATGACAATAACAATAATAACTATAATAATAATAATAATAGTAGTAGTAGTAATAGTAGTAGTAGTAGTAGTAGTAGTAGTAGTAGTAATAGTAGTAGTAGTAGTAGTAGTAGTAGTAGTAGTAATAATAATAATAATAAAGACAAGAAGAAGATGATGATGAGAACTTAGAGATAGAAAATTAATGTAAGGATTAAACAATAATAATAACAAATGTCAAGGTTAGAGGTTTCACTAATGGTATGTCAAACAAGTATAATATAAACTCTTATTATTCAATTGGAAACCACACACAAAGGAGGTTCCAATCAGATTATATATTGTTAACATGATTACATTAGTCATCTTATTCAATTAATGCTAATACTTGTAAATCTCGTCAAGCATTCATGATTATAACTTATGTTAACAACAAATCAAGTTCCTTTCATAGCTCAGGTGTCGGTTATACCATACAGTATGGGCTATAAGAGTGCCAAGCATTTGTTGTACCAAGTGTTATACAACATAAATCAATATTAATCATTTAACAAGCAAAGTATTAAAGAGTGAACAAGATAACAAATATAAAACATGTTAGTATCAAACATTAAAGTCCATATTAAGTTTACATTATACTTATTCTTACACCATTAGTGTAACCTTTTCACCTTGACATAATAAACTTAGTTAGACATAATAAAAGAAAGAAAAATAAATAAACAAAATAAGAACATGAATAAGATTAAAGTTAACTAAGTAAATGCAAGGAAATGAAAGGCATAAACTTGATATTAATGAAAGCAAAGCATAAACATTACAAAAAATACAAAGAGAGAAAGGAAGAGCATGATCTTGATCTGAACACCAAGATGCCTAAATGCATGGCAAATGCCTCCTTTTATAGGCCAAAATTGGGAACTATTGATTTGATGACTAATTGATGAGTGGGTGGCCAACTCTTGACTTGGTGACAATCCTTATCTTCTCTTGTCTGCCCAAAATGTCATTGATAACGTCAAAATTGGAGCCACTTGAAAACATGAAAGTTGTAGGCAATTGTCTCAGCTTTCTTGTGTAAAACATTCAGCTCATTTGGACTTCTAGAACTCCAGATATGGCCAAAATACTGAACAGTGCTCGGGCTAGAGGACAGCTTCGGGCTTCTTTGTTGTTGCAATAATTTGGACTTGAAAATGGCCTTTCTAGATCTTGGGCTCCATATAAAAGTTGTAGGCCTCTGTCTTACCTTTCCATCATATAAAGTAGACCTAAATCTGAGATTTATAGCTCCAGATATGACCCAATTACCGAACAGTGTTCCGGTTTGGATTGCACCGACATCTCTTTTCTAATTTTGGTCATCTCTTTGCCCTTGCAATTTAAGTTCTTAAAGTCATCGATCAATCCTTTCATTTATGTGATAGGCCTGCATTTAAAATGAACATTTACCACAAATTAAAGGTATCTTATATTATTAGATATATTATTATAAAACATGCTTTAGTTAAGGAGTTATTGATACTTCAAGTGCAAAATGATGATATAAAACCATGATAAAAATGCACTTTTAAGTACTAATCACACCCCCCAACCAGCTTATTACTAGTCCCTAGTAATCAAAGCGTTAAAATAGTACTAATCAGTAGTATTAGTAGTAATAGAAGAAGAAGAAGAAGTTGATAAAAACCTTGAGATCGAAGATCAATGTAAGGATTAAACAATGATAACAACAAATGTTAAGGTTAAAGGATTCACAAATGGTATTTAAAATAAATATAGTATAAACTCTTATTATTCAACTAGAAACAATACACAAATGAGATTCCAATTGGATTATAAATTGTTAATATGATTACGTTAGTTATCTTATTCAAATAATGTTAATACTTGTAAATATTATCAGGTATTCATGATTATAACTTATGTTAACAACAAATTAAGTTCCATTCATAGCACAAGTGTCGGTTACATCATATAGTTGGAATGTGAAAGTATCAAGTATTTGTTATACTATGTGTTATACAACAAAAATTTAGATTAACCATTTAACAAGCAAAGTATTAAGAGTGAACAAGATAATAAATATAAAACATGTTAGTATCAAATATTAAAGTCCATGTTGAGTTTACACCATATTTATTCTTACACCATTAGTGTAACATTTTCACCTTGACATAATAAACTTAGCTAAACATAATGAAAGAGAGAAACATAAATAAACAAGATAAGAACATAAATAAGATAAAAGTAAACTATGTAAAGTAAAGGAATTGAAAGGCATAAATAAGATATTAATGAAAACAAAACTTAAGCATTACAAAAATACAACGAGAGAAAGTAAGAGCATGATCTTAATCTAGAAACCAAGATGCCTAAATGCATGACAAATGCCTCCTTTTATAGGCCAAAGTTAGAAACTATTGATTTGATGACTAATTATTGATTGGATAGCCAACCTTTGACTTGGTGACAATTCTTATCTTCTTGTCTACCTAAAACGTCACTAATAACGTTAGAATTTGAACCAACCTTCCACATAAAAGTTGTAGAAAATTGTCTCAACTTTCTAGAAAAACAAATTGAGGTCATTTGGACTTCTAGAACTCAAGATATGGGCT